ATGTTCTTGATGTACTCCTGTGGTGGTTATATAAACTTCTGTCAACTTGCGAAGGGGTGGAGTTTAGCCTGTCAATCAATTCACAGCTTGATGACCTCATTTGTCGGCACTCTGGAGATAAATACCTCACAGGAGGTGGGATACACAGAGACTCTCTGCGAGGCATTCCTGTTGACAAGCCACATGGAGACACAATGATCGAGACAAAGTCATGGAGCTGGAGGAGCCACATGGAGACTCACACCAGCCCTGAGATGCTTTCCCCCACCAGTGGATCTACAACACTTTCCACCCACTGGCCTGTGATCGTCCTGCATTTGGCATCATTGCATGGCTGTGTGAGTCTAAAGAGGAATTTATGGACCAGTATCGACATATGGGCTAATATTAGACTTATGGACTTGATCTGGACTGGGCTGTACAATTGCTCTTTGATATAAAGTTCTCTCTTATACACATATGAGTGTCTATGAATTTGTTTCTGTAATCTAACCAGACTAACACAACTCCTATAGCTTATTAGGTCTTCTGTCATTAGTGTCCAATGCAGCAAATACCTTCTTGAAATGTTCTTGAAATTTAAGTAGAATATACTTAAGGTTGTATTATTGCCTTTGTGGACTTGTTTTAATTTCCTTCACCTTTAACCTGAACTGACATATGGACTTACATATGACAGTTTGTTCTATAGTCACCCCATGACTTATTTTAGCTGGTAGTTTTGAGCTTCTCTATCTTTCCTCACAGATGTAGTCAATTTGATTTCTGTGTATTCCATCTGGAGAAGTCCATGTGTGTGGCCCCTTTTGTCTTGATGGAAAAAGATATTTGCTATGAACAAGTTGTTGGTCTTGCAAAATTCTATCATGCAATCTCAAGCTTCATTTCTATCACGATGGCCACATTTTCCAACTGGTCTTCTTTCCTTTTTGTTTCCAACATTTGCATTCCAATCACCAATAATTAGCAATGCATCATGATTACATATTTGATCAATTTCCAACTGAAGATGGTGGTAGAATTCTTTAGTTTCCTCATTACTAGTTTTTATGGTTGGTGCATAAATTTAATAATAGTTGTAGTGATTGGATTTCCTTGAAGGCAAGCATATATAATCCTATCATAGACAGCATTGTGTTTCATGATTGATTTTGCTATAATCTTTTTTACAATGAATACAATGCCCTTCTCTTGATTGTGTCATTCTTAGCATAATAAATTATATTATTTTATGATTCAAAATGGCCCATCCCAGTCCATTTCAGATCACTAATGCCCAGGATCTCAATCTTTCTGCATTCCATTTCATTTCTGGTGACTTCCAATTTTCTTAGATGCATACTTCGCACATTCCAAATCTTGATCATTAGCAGATTTCTGCAGCTGTTTCTCCTTACATTGAGTCATGCTCCAACAGAAAGGGAAGATCCCGAGGTCTCCACTTCCATAGGCTTTACCTCACTCACATCACTATGGTCAAGTCCACTCTGAGAAAGCATTTGCTTCGCAGTCACATTTTCAAGTGCCCTCCAACTCTCTGGCACTGTCTCTGACAATGCTCTGCTTCCATTCATTAGGCCTTCAATATCTGACAGTGTTTCGATGTCATGCATAAGGTTATCAGCAGCTACTTCCTCAAAAGTTGGCAGCTGATTCCTTATTCCTTGCCTTTTCTTAATCTGGAAGCTCTGCTGAAACCTGTTCACTTTCGGTGACCCTCTTCTGGTATCTGAAATACCAGTTACATATCGTCTAGCATCACAGCAACACACTGTGTTAGTCTGGGTAGACTAGAGAAACAAACCATGGACACACATATGTGTATAAGAAAGAGATTTATATACAAGAGGAATTGAACATCGAGAAAGCATCCCAACCCAGTCCAGTCCAAGTCCATAAGTCTAATACTAGCCCATATGTCCAATACCAATCTATAAAGTCCTCTTCAGACTCACGAAACACATGCAATGATGTTGAATGTAGGACGATCACAGGCCAGTGGGTAGAAAGTCTTTGGATTCAGTGGCGTTGTAAGCATCTCAGCACCAGCAGGAGTCTCTCTACATGGCTTCTCCGGCTTCAGAGGTCTGGTTGTATCAGGGTAGGTCCATGCGGCTTCTCCAACTTAGGGCATTAGCGTAGTTCCATATGTCTTTTCAGCTGCAATGTCTCCCAGGGAATGACAGAGAGAGAGAAGTATCTCCTGCCTCCAAATACGAAGTACTGGATTTCCCAGAATTCTCAGGAGAAGGCCATCCCTACATAGAGGCCTCATTGGTTATGATCTGATTGACAACCTAGACTCCACCCCTACACTCTTAATCCTCAAACTGACAAATGATTATATATCTACCGCACACACTAACACACCATCACAGTACAACAAACTAATAGACAAGTGTATTCTATAGTGCATTAGATCATGTATTAGATAGTACATGTTGTTTTTCAACATTTAGCCATGTACATGTGATGGAACTAAAGCTATAGCCCATCCTAATTGTGCCTTAGTAACATGACAGACTACTCATTTCCAAATAAAATCATAACCACAGAATTTTTAACTTAAGACAAAATTTAGGATAATTATATCATATCCCAAAATGGAAGACAGCGATACAATCTGGTAATCATAGCATAGTCAAGTTGATACATAACCCTAATATCATAGGCTACATACACCTTATTTGAATGGTCCCATCCAATCATTTGTGAAAGGCACAATGAAAATGACTATATGGAGCATATTACATATCTCCTGGAGTAACTACCTCCTGACACCAGAGGCATGCTCAGCCTGATTCCGGTGAACTCCTTTATAGTTTTGGAGTAGGACTGAGGACCTGTTGCAGTGCCAGGAGATACCCCAGGAAATAGGTCCCAGGGGCTAAGGGGTGGGACAAATGGTAGCTCTTTGCCAACTAACACAGAAAGAATCCAACATTTCAACAACCAGTGAGTGCACACTGGCTGATGGCTGCTGCTTTTCTACTGGCGTTGGGCTTCTGGAGTAAAGAACACTATCTTACTATGGGGCTGACCTTTAACAGGGATCATGATGCACGAGGATTCATTTGGGAATTCCTAGTTATAACAATTGCAGACCTTCAATAAAATTAAATTAGAGATGGAAAAGTAGTAGTAACCCATACGAGCTATAAAACTTTGGGTCTGGTGCTCTTTCAGTTCCTCTTTCAGTTGGTCAGAATCTCACAAAAAAATCCATTGTCATCAAGTGGATTTCAACACATGGCAACCCCATGTGTTTCAGGAAAGAACTGGGCTCTGTAGGGTTTTCTTGGCTGTAATTTTATAGAGGTTGATTACCAGGTGTTTCCTTCATGGCAATACCGGGTGATTTGAACTGCCAATTTTCCGTTTAGTAACCACGGGCAAACAATTTGTCCTCAGGGATTTTTCAGGCTCTCATTAGACACTCATCATCACTAGACACTCTTCACATTAAATTCCCTTTACTGGAAGGGGTTTACAGTTACATTTTTCAGTTCTGTGAAAGGTTCAGTAACAAATACAAAACAATGGCATTGGGTCTATATCAGCTAGAGAAAGAATTTTTAAGGTGCTGTTTGTTTTTTCAATTAGATTTTTTTCTTATATAAAATATTTCTTTTTATAAGCTAACCTTATGAGGTAAAATTTGTGGATTATATTAGAAAAATCTCTCATATTCCCTCTGCTACCTGCAGCGATTGCCTGATTTACACTCTAATTAAAAACCTTCTGTGACGTAAGGAGTCATGTATGAGATAGCGTGTGTTGTTTTTCAACACTTAGTTGAAAATGTTTATTCTATTTGCCGAGGTGCTTTGGTGCCCTATCCAGATCTCCTGGGGATCTTTCACTAGGTGTACATGCCTATTCCCATCTATTGCGGCACTGAAATTAGGCTCACACCTGCCCCCTTCTCAAGAGATTTGTCCTTGAGAAACCAGAGCTGTTGCTCATGGCAGTGTGTTAAGCATTGGGTTGCTAACTGAAAGGTTGGTGATTTGAACCCATCAGCCATTCTGTAGGAGAACAATAAGGTAGCTGGCTTCTGTAAAGATTTACAGATTTGGAACCTACTGGGCGGTGCTACTTTCCTTTAAAGGGTTGGTGTTAGTGGGAATTGACTTGCTGATACTGCGTTGGTCCCCAAGACTGATGAAGGTGAAAAACAAAATTCCACACTCCTACCTCGAGGTGAAACAGAGTCTATAGTGACCAATACACTTAGCACTACCTGCAGGACTAGGTAGGGGCCAGATTCCACCTGAGAACATCCCTCACCTATCTTGTATTCTTTCTTCTCCTTCTCCTACATGGCTCTTCTGAGAGCTTTCAATAAATTATTTGCAATAGATTCCTCTTCACAGATCGAGGAGCCAGACCAGGAATAGTTGATTCAGATTTTTATGTACAGAAATACTTCATCTCTTACACCTCTATTTCTACTTTTCACAAAATTGAGCCCAAATTTGTACCCAGTTGTAGTAGCTGGAGGAACCCTGGTGGCATAGTGGTTATTCATTGGGCTGCTAACAGCAAAGTCAGCAGTTTGCAACCATCAGCTGCTCCAAGGGAGAAAGATGAGGCTTTCTATTCCCATAAAGAATTCTACTGGGAAGCTCATAGGGGCAGTTCTATCCTGTGCTATAGGGTCACTATGAGTCACAACCGACTCAATGGAAGTGAGTTCAGTTTTCTGGTTTGTAGTAGTTGGTACATCACAGGTGCCTGACTGTGTTTCTCCATGTTCAGACCTGTTTTGTCACTAACCATCACTCACTTTTCCTTATGTCTTAATTTTCTATTGCTTTAAATTTCACCTGCAAACAGAGACATACCAATTTTGAGCAACTGAATGGAATAAACTTGGGATCATGATACTCTAACTAAAAGTTGCATAATAATATGTTTATGATGTATCTTCTCTGTAAGGAGTTGTATCTAATTTATAGCCAGTGTTTAGTGGGCTCAGCAGAGTTAGTAGTCCTTACCTCTCGAATTTTCTCTAGAGCCAGGCTCACAATGTAGGAAATAACAACCCACTCCTGAAGTGAGGGCCAGCGGTCCATCCGCACCAGGATGACATAATTAAATAGCAGGAGGTAGCCCAAGTATGAGATCTGAAAGAAAAGACAACTCTAAGTGGTATCGGGTAATGTACACTGGTGTTCCATTTGTAGGTAGCAGGAGGTGATGGAAGTGAGAAGCCTGGTCTCAAACTATGAACTGGACAGTAGGTGAAGGAGAGGAGTGGGAGTTAAGAGTGGCAAAACTCTGGAAATGGCACCTTGGGGCACCAGGGGCACCTTATGCTTAGCAGGCGCCAGACACCTAACTTATAGGCTGGACCCAGGTCAGACATTCATCTGACACTCAGCCGAAGAGACTGGGTGGCAGCGGCTTCTCCCTCATCAGAACTGGTAGCTAATTTGCTTTGTGAAATGATGTATTTGGGGATAGGATGGCATATTTCTACATACGAGGGGGCTTCACAAAGGTTAAAATATAAAAAGATTTTGTGGGAAAATATCATTATCTGCCCCCCACCCTGTATTTATATATTTTCATTATTTAAAAAATTTACTAATTGGGAGTTAATACATATATCATTCCATAGTTCAATCACGTCAAGCAGAATTGTACAATCACTACCACAACCAGTTTCCAACCATTATCTTTTAAAATTTAGCTTATTTTCCATTGTCTTTTAATTCCATTATCCATGAACTTTTTGAAGCTCTTTTGTATACCAAAAGATACAAACCCACTGCTGCCAAGTTGATTCCAACCCATAATGATGCTGCCCCATAGGGCAGCCACAGCTGTAAATCTTTTCAAAGAAAACTGCCACATTTTTCTCCTGTTGGATGGAGATGGGTTTGAATCACTAACCTTTGCTAAACAGCTGAATGTTGAACCACCGCACCACTAGGGTTCCTATTCCTACATATACTATGCACACATATAGCTAATCCAATTTTACTTAAAATTATCCATTAGTCCCAGTTTTGTTTCATAATTCATTTTAAGCCAGCGAATTTCAAAAGCCCTTGTCATTTTTCCTTGATTTCAGCATATTGAAGAATTAAAAATCCAAAACAAATCAACCCAGGATTAATGGCAAATGCTACTGAGGGTGCATTACTGTGTAAAACCAGAACTTGACAATGGGCGCGTTATAGAATTCACAGATCTTTGTTCCGATGGGAATACTTCTGTGCTTTTTGTGCTCATTCTCCTCATCCCCCTTTCGTGAGCCAGCATCTGCATATGCACCCTGGAAGAGAATCACAGAGGAAAGCAACAGACTGATAAACGAGTCATACACAATACTTCATAGACAGACCCCCTTTCAAAGAAAGAATTATAGTACTATCCCAAATCATCAAGATTTTCAAATTTGTGGTGAGAGAAATCGGAACAATTTTGAAAGTGAGAGCAAGTTGCTACTTTTATGACCACTGGTCTCACCAACCATGTTCTCCTCTTCCTTTTCTTTGCCATCTTCGTTTTCTTTGGAGGTTTGATATGAGAAGTCATCATGGGTGCGGAATTCCAAAAATAAGATGGTAGGGGGTAGAAGAATTCCTATTATAACCTGTGTAAAATGATAAACAAATCTATTTGTAACATGTTGATTTGAGAAAAAATTTCTGGTATAGTTAGATTTTAAAAAAATGTAACCTTCAATATTAGTTAGTGACCCAAAGAACCTGGAACACATTGGTTTTTGCTCTGATATTTTATGGCTTAATTTTGTAAATTGGAGCTTGTCAAAATTTAAGAATATCTACTAAACTTTTTAGATGAATCACAAGCAGCATAATTTGGAATTCCTGCCTAAAAAGCAAAGGTCTTGTCTTTAATTACAGAGCTTGGAAATCTTTAAATTGAAATATAAGACTATATCATCTTTCTTCTGTAAAATAGACCCAAATCATTTTATTTATAAATAATTTAGATGTAACTGAATATGTGAGCAAAGTCCAGCTACAAAATTTGGCAGACTGATGGACATTACAAAAAGTGGACGTCATTAGGTTCACCCTTAGAGACAACAAAAACTGCCATGGAGAACTATGTGGTTATTTTTATCAGTTCTGGGCTATGAATCTATAGCACTGAATTTCATTCCCAATGGTAATAGACTATTTTTCAAATTCCTTCAATAATTCAGTATTAAGAACAACACAAAAGAGCTATTCCTACTACATATTACAGCATATTATAAAATATCTGTAATTACATTAGTGTAATGCAGTCACATGAGTAGACTAGACAATGGAAAGGATAGAAGACCCCAAAATAAAACTCAACTAGGAAGTGAGTATATGCTAAAAGTACTGCCTCAAATCACAAAAAAAATCTATGGACTACTTAATAAATGGTGGCTAGAAAATGGGTGGCATTCTAAAACATAATTAGAATGAATTCCAATTAGATGAAATATGTCATGGGGGAAAAAGAGAGAACATAAAAGAATGAAAGGTAAATACAGAAAAATTGCATCCCCAGGTATGCATTGGGAAACCTTCCTAATTATATCTCAAAATTCAGAACAAAGAAAAACAATATATTTAATAATTAAAGATTACAAACTTCTGGACATAAAAAGCCATAACCTAGTCTGAAGAAACACACAGGAAAGCATATTTTTAACTCATACCATAGACTAAGTGCTAATCTTTCTAATACAAACGAGCTCCTAGAAACAGATAGACAACCCAACATAAAAATGAGCAAGGGTTGTAAACCAAGAGGCAGTCATATTCACATGAAAACATGCTTGCCCTCACCTGTAACTCCATGTACTTGTACTGCTTAACTCTCATTGGAAAAAGCAGAAGTCTGATTAGCTGTCTGTTGGGAAAAATGGAGAAATAGATGCTCCCCTGCATTGCTGATGGGAATATAAGTTGATACAACTTGACCTAGAAGTTTTGGTAATGCTATCAAAATTGCAAGTTGACATACCGTTTTAGCCAAAATTCCACTTCTGTTTTCTGGACGTATATCTAACTGGTATCTACGTTACTATGTGCATCCAAGAGTATTCATTTTAGCTATGAGTATAACACCTCACGATGGGAGTGTCTTCTATTCCCTCAGGGGTTGTTCATAGGGGCCATGAAGTCCTTTCTGAATTCACAGTGACCTTATGTACAACAGAGTGAAATCCTGCCCACTCTTGCGTCATGCTTACAATTGTTCTTATGCTTGAGCCCAGTGTTGCAGCCACTGTGTCAATCCATCTTGTTGAGGGCCTTCCTTTTTCTTCCTACCCATCTACTTTACCACGCATGACATTCTTCTTGCTTGACATGTCCAAAGTGTGTGAGATGAAGTCTCACTCCTTGCCTTGAAGGAGCATTCTGGCTTTACACGTCTTCCAAGACAGATTTATGTGTCCTTTTGACAGTCCATGGTATTTTCAATATTTTTCTCCAGGACTTGAGTTTAAATTACAAACTCATCAATTCATCTTTGGTCTTCCTTATTCAATGTCCAACATTCACATGCATGCAAAGCCATTGAAAAGACCATGGCTTGGGTCAGGCGCACTTTAATCCTCAAAGTAACATTTTTTGTTCTTTAACACTTTAAAGAGGTCTTGGGAAGATTTATCTAATACAGAGCATTTTTTGATCTTTTGACTGTTGCTTCCATAAGTATTGATTGTGGATCCAAGTAAGACAAAATCCTTGACAACTTCAGCCTTTTCTTCATTTATCATGATGCTACCTATTGGTCCAGTTGTGAAGATTTTGGTCTTCTTTACATTGAGTTGTAATCCATCCTGAAGGCTGCAATCCTTGCTCTTCACGAACAAGTGTTTCAAGCTCTTTTCACCTTCAGCAAGCAAGGTTGTGGCATCTGTATGTTGAAAGTTGTTAATAAGCCTTCCCCCAGGCCCAATGCTCTGGTCTTCATATAAGTCAGCTTCTCTGATGATTTGCTCAGCAAACAGTTTGAATAAGCTTGGGGAGAGTATACAACCCTGGGGAGAGTATACAACCCTGAGGCACACTTTGTTGATTTTAAACCACACACTATTCCCTTGTTCTGTTTGTACATGTTCAGCATATCTTAAACGGAAAGAACTGAAGAAAAACATTAAGCCTCGAGTTGCAGTACTGAATTTCCCCCCATATGTCTGAAGTGAACTTGTATGTCACTAACGAATCCACATTCACGTCGGATTCACTTTTCTTCTTCTTGTAGCCCCTCGGAGCACTGTGTAGACCTGAGGGGTAAGGAACCCTTCACTCTCTGAAACCTTTAACTTCATTTACTTATTTGTTTGTTTATTTTGATTGTCAAAGAAATACATTTTGCATGTAGTTAGGTGCACAGACCATACAATCAAATCAAATCTAGTGTCCCTTTATTGTCCCTGTGTTTCTCTCTCTCTTTTTCCTTTCCCGTCCCTCACACCTTCTCTCCACAATTCTGTCTTTTGTCCTCATAGTCTTCACAGTCTTATCCTTTAGTGTGAAATCCACTTTCATTCTTTGTTTTTTCTTATAATGATGTCATTAATATTTGTCTCTGAGTTTTATTAACTTTTCTAAGTAAGCATTTGTTCATGTCTTTCTGTGTTTAAGAGAGTAGTCATTGTTTTTTATTGATGCATAACATTTATTTCATTGTATGAATGTACCAGCGTTTGTTTATCCATTCTTCTATAATCAGCTCTTTTAGATGTTTCCACCTTTTTACTATTATAAACATAGGTTTGCTGCAATAAACATAGGTGTGCATATGTCTGTTTGTGTTGTATTGTTCATTTCTGTAGCGTAGATAATCAATAAAAACCTAACACAGTGGTATGTAGGATCATTGATAATTATATTTGCATTTATTTAAGGAAGTACCATATTGGTCTCTATAGCAGTGTACAATTTGACAGTCCCACCAACAATGTATAAGTGTTCTAATTTTTGACATTCTCTTGAGCATTATTTTGTTATTTTTTAATTTTGCAAAAAGTGTCAGTGTGAGGTGGTATCTCATTGTTTTAATTTGTATTTCTCTTATTGCTAATGAACTTGAACATTTCTTCATATAGTTGGTGTCATTTCTAGTAAATTGTTTATTCATATCTTGTGCCCATTTTCATTGGGCTATTTGCATTTTTTTCTATTAAGATATTGTAGTTTTCTATAGATTTTTGAAATTATCCTTTTTACCTGATTTATCATTTCTCAATCTGTGGTTTCTCCTTTAACTCATTTGATGAAGTCTTTGATGTGTATAATGTAGCCTTTTTAGAGGGTCCCAGTCATTTATTTGTTTTCTATAGTATGGCTATTTTGTATAATTTTCTGTAGTGTGTTAATACCTTGTTTTCGGACCCTTAATTTTTCCCTAGTTTTTCATTAATGGTCTTTATAATTCTGGGGTTTATATTTAAGTCTTCAATCCGTCTTGAGTTCTGAGTCTGGGATATTTATCAAACATATGTTGTTTCCTTTCATAGTATCCCATAGAATACTTTGGTTTTCTTCAGCATTTTTTTTTTTTTGTCACTCTGATACCTTCCCTCCTTTAGATTTGGATTTTATTATGTACAATCCTTGGATCGCACAGGCTGGTGTGCTTCTTCCATGTGGACTTAGTTGATGCCTCTCTTAGATGGCTGGTTCTTTTAAGAAAAGCCTTTAAGAACAAAGATTCTAATTTTCGGAGAGCTAGGCACCATCTGGTTTCTTCAATGCACTTTGCTATAGCACCCATATCTTCAGTGATCACTTCATGAGGGTGAATATTCAGTTGGGTCATATCATAATATCTAATTGTTTTAGATTAATGCTAGCATTAAGTGAGAGCCTCAAATCCATTTGTATATAAATGATTTATACACATGTCTTTGATTCATTTTAAAGACATTATTATCATTTTATAATTGATAATATTATAAATCATCCCCCTGTGGCAAAAAATATTTCTATTGATATATCATTAATTTAGCCAATGATATAGAATTTAAAACACTGTTGAGAGAAGAAAATTATATGTGTATAGGCTGGCTTTTCTGACCATGATATAGGAATTGTTGACTTGTACAGATTAAACCCTTATGTGATTGGACACTATTTAGATGACCAAGAGGGGTTTCAACTCACTAAGGCAGAACCATACATCTTCAGGGGAGCATTAAAATAATAAACATATGGTAGTCTGGGTCCACCATATATTGGGCTCCCTCAAAGCAAAACATCTGAACCAAAGTAAAAAAACCCACTAATTTCACCACCTTGGGGTAGCCGTCATCTGATTCTTCTTCAGACTAGGGAGTTTCAACCTTAAGTTTCAACCCAATGGAGTATGGCAGCTCCTTAAATCTCCCACAGATGGTTTTGAGGCAAAGCCCAGTTTTCTTAGTGGGGTTTCCATATGGAAGCCTTATTGTGTGGCCTATGTAAGATGTGTGCACCTCCAAAGAACAGTCTAAAGTCCTAGTAGTCTAGAGAACATGGCCTGGTTACCAAAGGCTGGGGAGAAATTAGGTCAAAAGTGTCCAATTAGTAACATAGGAATAAGGAGTGCATCTCCCCTTGCATTCTATATAAATATTGTTAAGCGTTTTTTACTGAT